CATTCATAAAATGGAACAAGAGAAAAGGTCTTAATAACTGACTTTCTTCAATGTGTTTTTATATTCCAATACTCTATAGCACCAGCCCAGTCAGCGCTAGATCTAAAATGAAAAGCAGCCATCCATGGATGGCCCTCGTGCATCCGGGACCTTGGACACAGCTGCCTCCAGCTCCACCTCCACTTCCCACTTTTCGATCCAAATCTGCTTCTAACTTAGATGGGTCGTCCAAAAGACCCAAAGTTCCTGCTCCAAATCCTTTTGAAGATGTGCTGGAGGAGGACTCTCAAAGCGAGGCTGCTAAATCTGAGTCTGAAGACCAAAATAAGCCTTTTCTGGGAGCTACCCAATCAGAGGGCAGCACCTTGGGATCGCAGGAGGCTGAAGAAAAAAAAGCTCTCCCACAGAAGAGCCCGGATCTCAGAGGGCGTGTTGACGTCGCAGAACCTGACCAAGTAAAAGAATTGACTGCAGATACTAACACAGAGAGACCTTGTGGTGAAAGAGGTGGAGATGGTGGTCAGATTGCTCCGTCAGATGTGACAGAAGCAGCAGGTCCGTGTCCCATTCCTGCATCAAGACAGAGTCGCATTTTACCCAGAAGTCTTTCTGTGCCAGCCATTGCGTCTGACCCTCGTTCTGCACCTGTCGGTGAAACACAGACGGATGAAGCTGCCACATCGTGGCAAAGTAAGGTACGACAAGAGATCAGAGTTAACCAATAAAAGCCAAACATTAATGCACGTTTCACGTTCTACCAGAGGACATCTCATATGGCGTTTCTTACAGTTTTCCATATTATATATATTTTTTTATTTTCAGCCTTCCTGTGAAAAAGATCCTAAGGCTCAAAGACCCACATTATCCAAATCAAATACCGTTCAGGACCTCTCGCCTTGTCGGGGCCCCGCACCCGGCCATGGATTCCCACTCATCAAGAGAAAGGTACAGCAGCTGGATTTAAAACAAACTCAAAGGCCACAAAATCTAATTCTGAGTCATTTCTAGATGTGCCCTTGTGTCATGTAGATGCAGACTCATCATTAAGACGAGACGTTTTGAGCAAACTGAGTAGTTTACCCAGAATAACAAGTCACTTTTTTTGTGTGTGATTTATTTAAGAAATTATTTATTTTTTTGAAGTCTTGAGTTTTGGTGATATTTGTTGCTTGACAGGTGCAGACAGATCAGTGCGCTTCCCCAGAAGAGCTGCAGGTGCAGATGAGAGAAGTGGATCAACATCTGGAGACACTGGAGGGAAAAGGAGTGGAACTGGAGAGGAACCTGAGAGGCTGCAAAAATGGTTCGTACTAAATAAAATAATTTATTGGCACAAAATTCTCAATATTGTGAAGCCGCTTTGTGTAAATACCATTACATTGAGGCTCCCTGCTTTTTTATTTCAGATAAACAGGAGGAACAAATGCTAATGGAGTGGTTCTGTCTTATCCACGAGCGGCATGTTCTGATGTGCCACGACACAGAGCTGGTTTATCTGTAAGCGTTTTTTCACTTGTGCGGCTTTTCTTTTTTTTCGTGTTTCCTGAGCATCGTAAACACGTGTGTAATTTTTATTTCTCAGGACAAAGCAGAAAAAGCTGGAGGACAGGCAGACCGACGTGGAGTACGACCTCCGGTGTCTCTTTAATAAACCTGGTTAGTATGTCGCTCTGTGCATTGTTCAGTCACTTTTATCACCTACTGTATTTGACATTAATGGGAATTACTGATCTGTAAATAATTCAGGGATCAATATTCTTTTATCCAAGGTTCTGTAGGCGGGTTGAAAGGTCTTTAGCAGAAAGTTGACATAACTGCCATCAGATTTTTGCGTGTCAGGGGTGATTTGTGACAGCATGGCTGAAAGGGTGACAAGGAATGTTTACAAGCCGAGACCTGCTGTGACATGGTTCAGAGACATAGTTAGAGGGGTTAGACGTGTAGAATCTTTATGATCATGTAAGAAAAGTACAGTGAACATGTATGCAGTCCTATTTAGTGCACAGAAGGCAATCTAACGATCTTAATCAGTGTGTGTGTGAATGTGTATGTGTGTCATTATTATTGCACTGTTGTTCACAGCTGTGAATACTGGTTGCACGGGTTAGTGAAAGGAGGCAAACTCTTCAGTGTTCATTTATTAGTTCTGGGAGATGTGCTGTTTTTCCAGTTTGTTTGTCTTGTTCCAACTGCACCGCCTCCCTGAGGGTAACAGCTGGG